TTGCACTGCTCCATATAGCATCTGTGTCTACCTTGATCTCACATGGCTTGTACCATAATCTTTGGTTTAAGTTATATTTGATAGAATTTTTATTAAAATTTTACTACAATGGACCTACTTTAAAGGCAACACAAATTACTACTATCAGGCACTGTTCAGAAGCTGAGAAGATACTGTAGGAATTCCTGGGAAGAATATTTGTATCATCCTTGAAGTAAGGGAAGCAATGTTTCTAAAGCACATAGAGCTGCAGTTTCATCCTAACTTCACAGGTGAGGGTGTCAGCAGAGTGGCTGACTTTAGAATAAACCTTAGGTATGGAGGCTACACCCCATGATGGAGCTGATCTAGGCGACCATATACCTATTTGATAGTCAAGGTGTAGGTGCTGTCAGGAAGACAATGACGAAAAGCAACACCCAGCAGTATTCTTTAGGGCTAAGAATATTCATACTCTCTATGACTACTTCATTTCATGTGATATCATGTTCTTTCTGTATGATACATTTTTTTTCACCCAGCAGTATTCTTTAGGGCTAAGAATATTCATACTCTCTATGACTACTTCATTTCATGTGATATCATGTTCTTTCTGTATGATACATTTTTTTTAACAAGGAAACTTTAGCCATTTATACTGTTAAAACTCCTGGAAAAACAAAATGTTTTACTTTCAGATGATTCCCTTTAGACTAACAGTGTCATCCCAGTGGGCTTGGTTATAATAAAGTAAGAGGCTTTTAAAATGTTTTCAGCAAGAGCTGAATTGGAGTAAAGTAGATTATGATACTTGCTTTTACTTTGTTATTTTTCAGATATTAAAATTTGCTAAAGTTTTTTTTTAATCAAGAAGATGTCATACATCTTGCTATTCCAAGGAAATAGCATGAACTTAACAATTCACCAGATAAGACTTGGCAGTACTTTTCTTACAGGTTTCATTGCTTCTTGTGTTTTCTTGAACTTGCTTACTATAAGAATTTTAAAAATAGGACCTTCTTTCATAGGAAATAAGCTGTATTTTATGTTCATGTCTCTGTACCAAGATCTAAAAGTCAAATTGGATGCTTTTTATTTTTATTTATTTATTTTTTAAATTGGATGCTTTTTAAAGTTGACATTTATCTTTAGCATAATCTAGAAACTTTAGTTGTCTGTCACTCTTCTCTCCCTTCCTTTTTTCCCCAGGATTTTGTCTGTGTTTCTCAGATTCACATTGTAGGGAATATTTAGTTGTAATATTTAGCTCTCAGAGTGAAACTGTTGTATTCATGGATTCTTCTATATCTTCATGTTGCCACAAGTTAAAATTGCTCATTGAGAATTTAGCACAGGTAAATAAAGGTAAGCGGTAGAGTGGTTGGAAGGAGGATGCCGCCATTAATTACATAGGGAGAATTTCCTTCCACCGTCCTTTTTAAGAAGAAATTACTCAAAATCCACATATTCAGTAAAACAGTCTGTCAGTTGTGGGTCAGCTCTGAGACTCAGGATATGTAGTGCCCACATTAGATGATGAAGTTTATAATTGAGGCCATTTTGTTTTGTGATTGATTGATTGATTGATTGATTTTTCTGGTTCTGGTTGGTAAGGAAGGAGAAAACTCAGGGCACCGGGGTGTCTTAGTTGGTTAAGCATCAACTCTTATTTTGGCTCAGGTTATGATCTTATGAACCATGAAATCAAGTCCTGCATTGGCCTCTGTGGTAAAAGCCTGAAGCCTGCTTGGGATTCTCTCACTCCCTCTCTCTGCCCTTCCCCTCTTTTGCTCTCTCTCTCTCCCCCTCTCTCAAAATAAGTAAACATTAAAAAAGGGGGAGGGGAGCCATCTCTCTCACTGCCCTTCCTTCTCTGAGTAGTGGAGTTTGAAGCAACATGCAAAGGAAATAAGCAAAGTTGCCTAGGAAACCCTATTCATGCCCTTGGTTCCTGTTTCTTGACTTCAGTTTATAATGTCAGTTACTTGTTTTACTCAGTACTTTATTTGGAATGACTTTTGTATTAATGATATAATTTCAAGTTGTATTGGTTTGTCTAATATGAGAGATTCTAGAAGATAGTATTAGATATTGTAGACACTTAGAAATATACCAAAATAGTTCCCTGGAAGCTTTTAGTGCACTGAATGGCTGTTTTCACCCTTATTTGAGGATAAAACACTTATTACATACAGGACTAGTATTCCATAAATACTCCTTGACAAAGGTCTATTTAGTTCAATGTTAGATGTTTTCAGATAAAGCATAATTATGTTTTGAAAGTGGCCTCCTGGGGCACCTGGGTAGCTCACTCCGTTAAGTGGTTGACTTCGGCTTAGGTCATGATCTCATGGTTGGTGTGTTCAAGCCCCGCATTGGGCTTTGTGCTGACAGTTCAGAACCTGGAGTCTGCTTCAGATTCTCTCTCTCTCTCTCTCTCTCTCTCTCTCTCTCTCTCTGCCCGTCCCCCGCTCACACTCTGTCTCTGTCTTGAAAAATGAATAAAAATGTTAAAAAATGTTTTTTAATAAAATAATTTTTTTAAAAAAAAGTGGCTTCCAAAGAGGTACTTGAAAAAATAGTGTGGTCTTGACACTTTAACAAGTTTCTATGTGTTAATCTTTTTTCTTTAACTCCAGTGTAATCTTTTTAAATCATAATTGTCCAAACCGATAGCAACTAAATTAAAAAGTTTATTAAAATTTCCTTCAGCCTCAATACTTATTTGAGAGAAAATACAGTAATTTGTTTGGATGATGTATTTTGTCATCATATCCAGCATTTTTGCATATGTAGTTTTTTTTTTTTTAATGTTTTATTTATTTCTGAGAGAGAGAGAGAGAGAGAGAGAGAGAGAGAATCTGAAACAGGCTCCAGGCTCCGAGCTAGCACAGAGCCCAACGCGGGGCTTGAACCCACAGACCGTGAGATCATGACCTGAGCCAAAGTCAGATGCTTAACCAACTGAGCCACCCAGGCGTCCCCTTGTATATGTAGTTTTTAAAGATAGTATCAAATCTCCAATTACTAAGTCATGACCAGTTCTGGAAACAGTTCAAGATGCAGAGAAGTCTCCGTGCTGAGGATAAATGAGATGTGTATTTTATAGTAGAAGAAGCATGTGGTCTTCTGGATTAGACTAAAACTAGGTATACAATTTTAAGTTATATTCCTTCTATTATTTTATGAACTGATCCAATCACTTTATTGCCTAGCTCCTCATAAAAGAGACATTGTAAAGAAGTCGTGTTAAATCATTGCTAAAATAGCAATACTGTTGTATAAATACGAATTAATACCAGAATATCTGAAAGAGTAATTTGAACTTTTGTTTCACTTGTCGAATAATAGACTTTTAGGTTGCAAGATTTAATGTGATATTTAGCCAGAATTTCAGGAGTTTCGGAAGGAAGGAGGTAGTGCAGTATGTCCTAACTTGAAAAAGCATATTCATTATTATAATTTTCTACTTAAAAAGATGATATAAAATCTGCTTTTATAATACCCAGCCTATATCCATTTTATTCAGCACTCTGACTCTAGTGCACTTTCTTAGCACAGGCCTGACACACTGTAGTACAGTTGACCCTTGAATAGTACTCCAGTTAGGGGTCCTGACCCTCTGTGCAGTCAGAAATTCATCTATAACCTTTGTCTCCCAAAAAAACTTAACTACTAATAGCTTACTCTTAACCAGAAGCCTTACTGATAGTATAAACAGTCAGTTGACACATATTTTGTGTTAAATGCACCACATACTATATTCTTACAATAAAGTATGCTAGAGAGAAGAAAATGTTAAGAAAATCATAAAGAAGATACATTTATAGTACTGTACTGTATTTACCAAGAAAAATCCAACTATAAGTGGACTCATGCAGTTCAAACCCATGTTGTTCAGGGGTCAGTGGTATTTAACAAATATGTATTTTCTTGAAAAATAGAATAACCAAATAAAGGAAGAAAGAAAATATATAGCTTGACAAAGTCTTCTTTACTTATTGGTGTGTTCTGAAGGTAGACTTTATTTTCTACTTATTAGAAGTTATCAAGGAGGGGAGAGTATGAGCTTTTCATTGTGTGCCAGGTGGGTAACTTTGAAAAAGACTGGGAAGTATTAATTTAATAAGAAGAGCACTGAATTGGGTATCTTCTTGCCCTTGCCCTCCTACTGTTAATTATTTGGATGCTGTTAACCAAATTAATTTTATCTTCAGTTTGTTTTCTCTCTTGATTATTGGGGTTGACCATACATTCTCCACCTTTTTACTTGAGTAGCAGTGAGCGTCAAAAAAAGAATGGCTGTGAAAGTTTACAATCTTATAAAAAGCCCTGTCTTTCTTTGTTTAATTATTATTTACAGGCTGCCTAAATTGTATCTTTGTGAATTCTGTCTAAAATACATGAAAAGTAGAACTATTCTGCAGCAGCACATGAAGAAATGTGGTTGGTTCCATCCTCCTGCCAATGAGATTTACAGAAAAAATAATATTTCTGTCTTTGAGGTAAAGTAGATGTTTTACAGTTGTCTCCCTATCATTTGAAATGCAGTACCACCTATACTGTATCTAATTGTACTTGTCTTTCTTGAAATGTTATTACACTGTTGTACTCACTCTTGAGTCTGGTATCCAGCTATATGAGAAGCAGAATTAGGCCATCCAAATCGTACCGGGGTCACAAGCTTGATCTTAGAATAAACTATTCTGTATTTCAGGATTTCATTTGATTGTAAAACACCAACTGATTTTTTATGTTTAGATGTGATAAAGTTGTGTCTTAGAATCTATGAATTAATGATATTTAAATGAAAGAATTTCTGTTCCACTGAAAGGAGTATTTGGTAGAGATATTTAATAACTGTAGTAAATCTTATTTTATAAAGTTATAAAAATATATATTTCTTACTTCATCATGATGATATAACTTAGACTGTCTCTGTGATTCTGTGTTGTTAGTCATGGGGTTTTAATTTCTAGAACCTCAGTTCTCTGGTGTTATTGCCAGGTATTACTGAGTACCTGCCATGTGCTCCGTTTTGTTCATTACTGTGATGATAGAATTTCAGATTGTGGGGGTCACTCAGTCTCCAGCTTTCTTGGTTTTCCCTGCATCTTCATTTTAGGTGAGCAGTAGTGGAGCTCTTCACCCTGGGGGGAGGAAGAAGGGTGTGGTCTACAATACCCAAGAGCAAGGTGCTTCTCACCTTAAGCATATATTGCTGTATATCTTAAAAGAAGTAATATTAAGTTACTTAAATTGTTGAAGTTTCTATCCTGAAATATCGACGCCTTAGGGTTTAGTACGGGCATCCGTTGGCGTTTGTGTAGAAGAGCAAGCTCTCAAAGCTCCAACAACCCAGGGGTGTATCAGAAGAAACACACAGTGGTGCTTCTGATTTTGACCAACCTGATTCCAAGAAATCTCCCATTTGCCAGCTTGCTACCTAGGGAACCTGCTTGGTGCCTTTGGCAGTAGTTCATATTCCTGAAAGTAGCTTTATTTCAGGGAAAATCTGATGGTGGTGGCCAGACTGCATTGCTCCTGGCTGCCAGCATAGATTGGACTATCACTGTACCCTGTTTTACTTAACCAATGTGTTTCAGAAGAGGCTGCTTTTAGATCTTTTGTTGAATTACTTTAAAAAATGAATCAGATCAGCTTGCTATCTGAAGGATTACTGCAACCAATCTTGTTATAAAAGCAAAACGTGCTGTTTTTAAAAGGGCCATCATCTCCTTGTCTAGCTATTCATACTTTGTTGAAATGCAGTACTTTATAGATTTAGTTGTCTTAACAACGGCAGGTACCATAGTTCTGCTGTTTCAGAGGATAGCCTCCAGGTTCCAATCACTGACAGCTCTCTTAGGCTGGACTGTGGATACGCACAGGTATTTGTAAGTGATGTGTGTTATTGTTCTAGAACTAAAGAGCCACTTTACTGACCATTTTGTTCTATTATTTTCCTCTAGGTTGATGGGAATGTGAGTACCATTTATTGTCAGAACCTATGTCTCTTGGCAAAGTTGTTTCTTGACCACAAAACACTCTATTATGATGTGGAGCCATTTCTTTTTTATGTACTAACACAGAATGATGTCAAGGGCTGCCACCTTGTTGGCTACTTCTCTAAAGTAAGTATATCAGCTTAAAATGTGTTTGAATTCACATGGAAATCTGAAGCATCTTTGTCAGTTCTCACTAGGACACTCCACAGTGCAGCACCTTCTGGGCATCATCTAACTTTTGGAAAGGAAAATAGAAGGAACATTTAGAAACTTACCAAGTGCTAGACAGTGCCTAGTAACATTCAACAGACTGTACTCTCCTAGGAACTGAGCTGCCGGTTAACCTCTAGGGGAAGAGTTTTAAAATGACTTCCAGTCCCATGGTAATAATAGATAGAACTTGTGAAATAAACACAGTCATTACCTCTTTGAGCTCTTTCTCGGTTTAAGTCTGCTCTTCCTAGTTTAAATTTGAAGCACAGAAATAAGAATAACCCCTTTTTATTAAAGGATATTTTCTTCCCTTCCTATAGTCTTCCGTTCTTTTGAGGAGAACAAAAGGGTTTTTTTGTAGTCAAACAACATAAAAGATATACTTTTATTTAAGCTGGCCTGTGGTAAAATCTAAGTGCATGAAATGGTTAAGTGGAAAGTACCAGCTTTCTGTTGGCTATTTCAGAAGTTAAATATAATTTTATGTATATTGCCTGATTTTTAAAAGTGGTTGTATGGAACATTTTGGGGTTATTTTTGTAAAGTTAGGTACACCTGATGGGGAGATGGGACTGCCCTATGTAGCACCAGAGCAGGACATAAAAGAATCTCGGAAATAGTTGATGAATTTTCCCATTTCCGGAGTGTCGCATCGACTCATCCTTTGTAGCTCTGCAGATTGACTGGGACTCAGATTCCTCTGTTCATCTTAGGCAATGGCATACTGTTTTTGAGTTACAGATCGTGTTGGATGGCATAATTTTATATTTTTATTCTCCTGGGATGGTTGCTTTGTGGGTAATGGCATTGACTTAACATTGTCCTGTCTCCTCCCAGTGGGGTAGTTTTTCCTTGATGCGCATGCTGTTCTCAAAGGAGTAGGGCTGTGGTTTTGGTTGTTAGTCTTTGTTTCTTAATAATTAGCATTACTATTCAGTCTTACTAGCTTGTTGTTTTAAAACTGTCTTTACCAGGAAAAGCACTGCCAGCAGAAGTACAACGTTTCCTGTATAATGATTCTTCCCCAGTACCAGCGTAAGGGCTATGGCAGGTTTCTCATCGATTTCAGTAAGGATTATAATAATATAATTTCTCATTATCTCTTCTTGTGGACCTTCTGTATATATTTTTAAAGAAATTGCAGATGATTTATTGGTTGCTAGTATCTTTTTTGTCATACTGCTCTATGGGACTTTAAAACCTAAAGTCATGATTTTTTTTTGGATTGGACATGAAGTATTTTAAGATAGCCTATGCTGAATACTAACTTCTGTGTGATCTTTTACAAATACTTTTAATTTTCAACGGTTAACTTACAGTGGAACTGAGTTTTACGCTAATTCTAACTCACAACAGTACTAATAAACACATTGTATAAATACTTATTAGTACAGTAAAGTACAGCACTTGCCTTATCTTTGTTACCCAGTTATCTGGGAAAATGTGTACATCATTTTTTAGTTACAGGCTCTACCTAGTGGTTAAAGTATGCAATGCACCTTTGAAAATCTTAAAAATAAATGATATAGGAAATAATTTAATCTGACTTAAAAATGGAAAGGAACAGTTCTGAAAAAAGTCATTGTGGAACATGTTGATAGTCTTGCCTAGAAAGTAAATATATGTTTACAATAAATAGTATATTGATTATAAAATAGTGATTTTTGAGGGGATATTTTGATACAGCTGTTCTTCTGAGTACCAGACAATTCTGTCCCCAGTGTGAAGAAGGTAATTCTCACGATGGACCAGCATAGCTTATTCCACTTGGCCTCAGGCTGTACACTTGACCATATTTTATTGGAAATATGTGCTACTGATTATCTTGTACATTTTCTTGGCCTTTTTGGATTAGTAGTAGAGAATATAACTCAGATTATTTCCTTTATATCAATGTTTTTTTTTTTAATATTTTTATTTCTAGGAGAGAGAGAGAGAGACAGCGTGAGCAGGGGAGGGTCAGAGAGAGAGGGAGTCACAGACTGAAACAGGCTCCAGGCTCTGAGCTGGCAGTCAGCACAGAGCCCGACGCGGGGCTCGAACCCACGAACCGCGAGGTCATGACCTAAGCAAAAGTCGGATGCTTAACCGACTAAGCCAGCCAGGCGCCCCATCAATATGTTGTTTTGAAATAGAACTCATGTTTGGATGTGTTATGCCATTAAATAGCAAGTTTAAGGGGAAACTTGTTACATTTTTCAGATAAACAATAGTCTAAGATTACACTAATTGGCTTTTCCTAATGTAACCTATTTTCCACATTACCATTCATAGATTGCCTTTAATAAAGTTTTCTTTGATGACAAAAAACTATATTTCTTCTGCCATCTCCATTTTTGATACTTTTTCTTAGAACTTATGGCTTTCTTTTCCTGTTCTTGAGAGTCCTGCTCTAAACAGGAGGACAATACCACCATACCCTCACAGTGACAGCCCCACAGCGACATCCTTACTTATCAAGAAATAGGGTGGTGGAGAGGAGAGCTTTGGCTGAAGTGAGGAATTGTGATCTAATTCACTTCCAGAAGAACCATAATCTATTTTAATAGCTAGAATTACTTAAAAACTAAGGCATCCTTTTGTATTGTTCAACAATTCAGGTATCGCTGTTGCCATCTGGTGGTCCAAATAAAATGTGCAAGGGTGGTTCCCCTATAATATAAAGAGCATTATTGCCTAATCTTATGCAGCCAATTAATATGAGGTCGTGTAATTTTTTTTTTTTACCAGCTTGAATATTTAACAATGTGGTTTAAAGCAAATATAGGCAAAGTAATACTAACGTAATGTTTAGTATGTACAAATTACATCATCTTGTGCAAATTTGTGTTGAAGTAATTTTTCAATTTGTTCTTTTTCTTGAAGGAATTTACTTTTGAAATTATATTGCCTATACTACTTAGATTGGTTGTGGAAGACGGGATTGTTATTTTGGTGAATTAGCCTATTCTAGGCTCTCTGACCTATTTGTGATTTGGGGATTTCTTTAGGTTATTTGTTATCAAAGCGTGAAGGCCAAGCAGGGTCTCCAGAGAAACCATTATCGGATCTAGGTCGTCTTTCCTACATGGCCTATTGGAAAAGTGTAATATTGGAGTGCCTTTATCACCAAAATGACAAGCAAATCAGCATTAAAAAGTTAAGCAAGTTGACAGGTATCTGCCCTCAAGACATTACTTCCACACTCCACCACCTACGAATGCTGGACTTCCGTAGTGACCAGTGAGTATTACATCCCTTTGTTATACTTTCAAAAGGTAATCAGGTGGAAGTTTTTGAGTCAGGCAGCCAGATATCAATGAACGGGCATAAACTAATATAAACGGTACATTTGGCAATCCTGAAATGACATTTTCCTTTCTATGACATTTGATACTATTGACCATATCTTTTTTAAAATTGTTTTTTTCTAGTCTTCCTTCTAACTTTTGGACCTAAGCTACTGAATTTTTTCTTTTCTAATGTTGGGATCACCTTCACAGTATGAGAACAACTTTAGAAATAAAATATATATCCATGACTTATTTCCATTATATGTGGTACAAAATAAAATACACGGTAAGGGAAAGTCAGCTCACTCTTATCTAGAGTGTTTGGGAAAGATCACAGCGAAAGGAAGGAAGCATTGGTCTAGAAAGATGGAGAATAGGATAGAGTACAGGAGAGTAGCAGAACTTCCAGAGCTGGGAAGTGTGAGACAGTGAATGGTTAAATAACCAAACCCATTGCTATTGTTGAGTATGAAGTATCTGTCCAACTTTGTTAGCTATCTCATGTGGTGGCATAGTTCTGTATTTCATCCTCCCAAGCAAGCCATTTTTGAAGCATTTATCATCATCTCCAGGTTTTCTAGCTCCATATTCATTGTTAGGTACTCTTTGTACATTGTTGATGGCTATAAACTTTGCTCTGGTTCCAGATTTGTGATAATCCGCCGGGAAAAACTTATCCAGGATCACATGGCAAAGCTTCAGCTGAATTTGCGGCCCGTAGATGTAGATCCAGAATGTTTGCGCTGGACCCCGGTCATAGTCTCCAATTCTGTGGTCTCAGAGGAGGAAGAAGAGGAGGCTGAGGAAGGAGAAAATGAAGAGCCGCAGTGCCAGGAAAGAGAATTAGAGACGAGTGTAAGGGCATGAGTAGTCTCTATTTTTGATGACAGAAGGCTCTATTTTTGGTTTTCATGAGTATTTGTGATATGTGTTATGATATCCTAAACCAAAACAGTCAATTCACATTAGAATTTCAGAGATGATTTCAGTGATAGAGATTTCAAGAAGACTGGGTTTTGTTTACTTAAATTGTATGTTTTTAAGCCTTAGATCGTTAGGAGACCTTCAAATTTGTAATAATGTGTTACGTGGGACTAAATATTTCTTACCAGGGTGCTGATAAACAGCTAACTCTTAAGCTGTGTACTAATTGACGAATCTGAATTTAATGCTGACCGTTGTTAAAACAAATGAAGGTACTTTTTCCTTACAACATTAAGAAAATAATGTAAACGTGTATGTTTTCTAATAGAGCACTAAACAGTTCAGTGGGTACACAGATGTCTTTAGCCATTAAAGAGGGACTATATGACATTGTATAGTTTTCAGTATTTTTCATCATGTGATGCATACCTTTCTCTGTTCTTTTTTTTAAGCCGTGCTTTCTTCCTTTAAAAATCTATGTCCTCCTTTGATAAACGTAAGCAATTTCATGCCCCTGTTTAATGTAATTTAATTTTCAAAATGAAATTAAATATTCAGAATAAAAATAAATCAAAATAATTACAGAAATTTTCTTTCATTTTTTTCAAACACCCCTTTTCTCTTGCCCATGCCCCAGAGCCATCTCCCTTCCATTTATAAATTTTTATTTCTGAGAAATTTTGTAAATTATACCATTTAACATTTATAAGAACAATGCTGTTCACTTTGTTTATTGAAGGTGGGATACATAGTGGTTAAGAGCACTAACTCTTGGGTCAGACTGCCTGGTTTTATATCCTGGCTTCTGCATTTGCTATCACATGTCCTAAGGCGAGTGACATATTTTTTGTGCCTCGGTTACCTCATTTGCAAAGTGAGGCTGCAATAACACTTCATACAATTGTTGTAAGGATTCATGAATCTTATAAAGCATTTAAAGCAATGCCTAACACATGAGAAATATTCATGATAGCTATTAGATAATACTTTTCTTTTTTAAAGCTTTGTTTTCTTATCTCTGATTTAAGCGGTCAAATAGGAGATATAACTAAGGAAGGCTGAAAAATTAACCAGCATGGTTTTGTTTTCTAAAATCAGGTGGGAAAGTCTGCATCTCAGGAGAACAAAGAACAAGATTCTTACTCTTCAGTAGAAAGTGAGAAGAAACCCGAAGTCATGGCACCAGCTAGTTCTACACGTCCGAACAAACAAGTCCTTCCCCGTGATAGTCTTCCTGCAAATAATCAGCCACCTCGGAGAGGCCGTTGGGGAAGGAAGAACAGAAAAACCCAGGAACGTTTTGGTGATAAAGATTCTAAACTGCTCTTGGAAGAGACATCAGCTCCTCAGGAACAATATGGAGAATGTGAGGAAAAGTCAGAAACCTCCCAAGAACAATATACTGAAAGTGAGGAGCAGTCAGCAGCCTCTCAGGAGCAGCCAAGCCAGGATGGGAAGCCAGACATTCCCAAAAGAAGACTAAGTGAGGGGGTGGAGCTCTGGCGGGGACAGCTAAAGAAGAGCCCTGAAGCACTGAAGTGTAGGTTACCGGAAGGCAACGAGAGACTGCCCCGTCGCTATAGTGATGGTGACAGGGCTCTCCTCAGAGGCTTCAGTGAGAGTAGCGAGGAGGAGGAAGAGCCAGAAAGTCCTCGCTCCAGCTCCCCACCAATTCTTACAAAGCCCACGTTGAAGAGAAAGGTAAGTCTTTTCTTTTGACCCGTTTCCTTCGACGTGTCTGTTCTTTCCCCAGTTGCAGCTTACTAGATACATTTGTCTATCCCAGAGCTCTGAAAAAGTAAATATAGAAATTCTTAGTGTGTTATTTTTTAGACTTTACGCCTCAGTATATTGTAGCTTGTGATATTCCCAATGAACGTTTGGAGTGTGTGTATGGTTTCTTTGGTTCATTTGAAATGTGTATATAACATCAAATAGATAAACGTCATAAGCTTAGTTAAGGCCTGACAAACTGTTGTTCATCTTGCTGGTTTGATGTTCTAATTATGACTTTTAGGAATTTATAAAATATTTTAAAAGCATGTATATATCAGAAATGTTTATGTTAGAAAAGGAGAAAAGTATTTGACAGTTTGATGGACAGCAGTGTCCTGTGTCAGGGATGCTCTGAGTGAGGCCTTTCGTCTTGAGTGGGACTTTTTCCCTGGGCTCTCTTGTCCGGTCTCTGTCTCCACCTTCTTTCTTCTAGTGGTTTGACCTAACCTGGTTCTGAAAATATGTTCTCCGTTCTGTTTCATCATCTTGCAGAGTTTGAATGAAACCAGTTTATAAATGTGATGTGAGGATGACAATGAGTTCTGGTAAACTGTACACCAGAACTACCCCCAGGCTATGGGGGGAACTTTAAGCATTTCCACAAGCCAGCCCCACTGAGCTCAGCAACCTGGATGAGCCACCCTGAAGTAGCAGGGTGACAGCTTCCATCCAAAGCAGTGAAATTGTTCCTTTCCTTAGCAGAACCTTATGGGGGAAAAAAAAGTAGGGCTATATATAAAAATATAAGTTTTTAATTTTAGAACAGTTTTAGATTTATGCAATTATTGCAAAGAAAGTACAGAGAGTTCCCATATTCCTTACACCCAGTTTCCCCTATTATTAACCTCTTACATTGGTATAGTACATTTGTCACAAATAGCGAGCCAATATTTTATTACTAGAACCATACTTTATTTAGGTTTCCTCAGTTTTCCCTTACGTTCTTGTCTTCCAGGATCTCATGTAGCACACCACGTTACATTAGTAATCATTACATTTAGTGTCTTTGGCCCCTCTCTGGTGAGACAGTTTCTCAGACTCCTTGATTTTGACAACTTTGACAGTTTGACGAGTACTGGCTAGGTATTTTCGATGTCCCTCATGATACTAGAATAGGGTCCTATGTTTTGGGGAAGAAGACCACAGAGGTAAAGTGTCACTCTTTATCATACAAAGGGTGTCTGATATGTATGTATGTATGTATACACATGCACACACCAAACACAAGAGTATTACTATTAATATGACTTACCACTGTTGATGTTAGTCTCGATCACCAGGTTTAAGGTTGTGTGTGTCAGGTTTCTGTACTGTAAAGTGACTTCTTTGTTCCCCTTTCCCATACTGTACTTTTTGGAAGGTAGTGCTGCCTACAGCCCACACTTTAAGATATGGAGAATTGTACTCTATTCCATAGGAGTTCTGCTTAAGATTTATCCATCCTTCCCCATCTGCTTATTTATTCAAGCATTTATTTATGTCAGCATGGACTCAGATATTCACTTTATACTTTGAGTTGTAAACCAGTGATACTACTTTATTTAACTTGTTCACATTCTTCCAGCTTTGGCCATCGGAGTCTTCACTTCTGTGCCCCTTTAACTTAATATGTACCCTCATCATTGTGAAGGTTTCGTGTGTGTGTTGGGGGGGGGGGGTTTGAGCACTTCCTTACTGTCTAGTACTATAAGATGGTCTAGGCTCATCTTGTATATTTTATGTCCCAGGCCTAGAGTCAGCCATTTTTCCAAAGAGCAGAGCCAGGCATGTTTAACCTAGTTTGAAAATTGTGCTTTCAACTAAACAGACTAGTAAATTTGAAGTGGAGAGAAATTGAACACTGGCTAACTCTGCCATTCTGTGTGATCATGAAGACTATATCTCAGCCATTCCAGGCTTATATTGCCTATTTTTAAAATTGTGCTATTTCCTTATGTAAAAAAGAGAATATCGTAACAGGCAGTGAGATCATGTACACAGTACTTGAAGTTCTTAAAGAAATGAGCCAGACCAGGAGTCAGAGACTGTATTTTACAACCGTTTCCATACTGACTGGGTATGTGACCTTACGCAAGTCCTGTAACCTGTCTCGCCTCTGAGGAATGAAGAGATTGGATTAGATTATTTCTGGTGGGTCGTCTTTATCATTTTGTTGTATCTGTTGTGTAATTTACGGTATTATTAGATCAGCTCTAGTATAAAATTGTACCCATTGCACCACATTCCAGTAACAGATTTACTATTTTGGAAATACTTCACCAGTATCAAGTAATTACACATCAGCTCTGTAGTTTTACATTCCACTGTAACTCCTACAGGTAATTCATGAAGATGGCTTACAGCCTTAAAACAGTTCTGCTGATCTTCAGAGAGCTGTGAGACAGACAAAACTTGTTTTAGTCCTTTCTGTTCTCTCTCTCTCTTGAAGTAAGAGAAGTTGAAGGACTAGCGTCTTCAATGCAGTATTGAAATAGGCAATTCCCTAGGGTGTTAAATTTAACTGAACTAATAGTGGAATTATAATATCTGCTCTCTGGGCATGCCTTTTAGGAAGTTCTGTTCAATTATCCAACATCTTTCTGTGATACTTTATTGTATCTTACTATAGTATTCTGAAATAATATCCAGAATATCTCTTGGCAAATTCGGGTAGGCTTCAAAAGTATTAATCGTGTTATTAATAGAAGTGATAGTATTCACTACTATAAATAAAATACTTTCTTCCTCGTCTAAATAGAAACCAATTCTTCACCGAAGAAGGAGAGTCCGAAAGCGCAAACACCACAACAGCAGTGTGGTTACAGAAACGATTTCTGAGACTACAGAGGTATTAGATGAACCTTTTGAAGACTCTGACTCTGAGAGGCCGATGCCACGATTAGAACCCACGTTTGAGATTGATGAGGAAGAAGAGGAAGAAGATGAAAATGAACTCTTTTCTAGAGGGTACTTCCATCGCTTACCCTCACAGGATGTGCTCAGGTGTCGATCCTCTTCTAAGAGGAAGTCTAAAGATGAAGATGACGATGAAGAGTCTGATGATGCTGATGGTACGTTTTACAGAACCACTGCTTATGGTAGTTTTAGTGTCTTTAAGGAAACGAGCTTCAAGTGATAACTGCAGACCCTTCAGCAAAAAGGCTGGAAAGTGACACACCCCACTAAGCAAGTAAAGGACGACTTGATAATCTCTAAAAATTTGTGTCAACTACATTCATCCCCATTTTCTCCTTTCGTCCTCTGTCCTTTTAAAAAGCTTTTTCTAGTTTCCCCTTCAACTGAGGTTGTAGTTTTGCCTCTGTTGCTGTTAGGAAATTGTTCTTTTTTGCCTAATCCTTTCTCAGCCATTCTCTGAATCTTTAGTTAATTGGTGGATTGGACTTAGCATCAGGAAGATATTTGAAGTAATAGCCCTTTACTAGAAAGTACACTCTTGTGGACTTACCTGTTTTGCTAATTATTGTGTCCTGAGTGCTTAAAATAGACATTCAAATAAGTACTGTTAAATGAATACATGCTAAGAAGATGGTTCTAAGATCCAAAACCATGTAAATTGGACTTGTCTCACATCTGTTCAGGATGTGAATCGTATCTCTAATGTGCCTTTCTCTGCGAGTAGTAAATTTCTAATTAAAATGGTAACAATCCCTCAAAATAGGTTCAGTTTTAGGGCATAGCTAAAAATCCAGTGATTTACTTTTGAAATAGCCAAGATCATTTAGAGATACAGAAATGGGCTCATAACTGTGCTAGGTCACAGACTAGTACATCCTACCCTAAAGTTCCTGCCAGTGCATCGTGCTGCCTGCAGCCACGGTGTTTGTCTCCACGTAAGGTCAGACTGAGCTTTTTCACTTTGGTGGGTGAATTTGAAGAAATCTAATTGTCCACTCTTCATGGACGTATAGCTTTTATTAACTAATTGAGTTTTTTTTATTCTCCTTTTAAAAATAAATTCACTCAATTTCGTGTCTAGTAGAAACTTGCTTTCTCCATTCTCCTGTTTTTATATAATAAATAGTTTTAATATAGTGATAAGATGACTGAGTTCTTAGTTTTATTGTGATGTATATATTAAACTAGATATTTATTGTGTAAATTTGGCACTTCACTAAATTTCTGTCTTGGATCATTGTAGTTCAGATAGTATCCCCTGTTTAAGTTCTTGTTGACTTGGACAGATTTTCTCTGATGCAACCATTTCCATTCTTTATTTTCAAGTTATTATTGCTTACTGTTCCTTCCTAACTCTTCCTTCCAAATCCTGTTCTTGCCTTCGTGTTCTTCCCTTTAAAACTTAATGGGAAATGTGAAGGTACTTAATGCCACACCATGCCTAACCATGGTTGAAATGGTACATTTTATGCTATGCGTAGTTTACTGCAATCTTTTAAGATAGAAAAAAATTAATAGGGAGAAAATA